GCTCTATTGACACATCCGAAAAAAAGACCAAAACCATTATATTTCATTTCCAACTGTCAAGAGAGCGGAAAAGTAGAAGTGTCAGCTGTAGAGTTGGTTGCTAACTCGGAAAAGGTCTGTGCCATAACTGCCTCAATGCATAGCTCTAAACTATTGTTGTGGAATTTTAATAATGAAACATACTATGATGAAATAACTTCTTGGACAGACCCATCAGAAAATCCATCAAAATTTCGTAAGTCTATTTATTATACTATTTATGAACGGATGGAAATTCTGAATAAATGTGTGTACCTCTTAATTTTCCTACATCCTTTTTAGTCACAGAAATCGAGTTTCCCGAAGATATAGGAATAAGGTGCCTCAGCCTGCATAGTAGCAAGAGGAAAATAGCAGCTGGCCTCAATAGAAGTGTTATACCTGTTTTGATTGATATTGAAACGTAGGTGAACCTTTTGAACTCATATTTTTTGTATTGTATAAATGTAATTCTTATTCACTATCAATTTCTCCGTTATTCATAATTTATCATTATTTACAATTTTAATTATATTATGTATCTATGAAATCTCTATACATATTATTGTTTTTTTCTTAAATGTTCAATCTTTTTACAGGCGTAAATTTTTGTACAAACCCCTATTGGGTCGGTGTCATAAGCTATTAACTCGAGACATTAGGTGGCATGATCCGAATACGATTATATATGTAACAAACTATGGCACGGTGCACTATGTTGATGTGCGGGCAAAGAGAGTGGTGAGGCATTATTTATGTAATACTAACAATAACTACTTGGGACCTTTAATTATTTGTATGTCATTACTTATTACATTTCTCTCATCTTTATAGGTTCATGAAATGATGGACCCATTTCAAGCCTCATGTTACTGCCTCAAATCTGATGGTGATCGTGCAATAATTGTCGGCTCCTCAGAATATTCCCGCTGTGTTTTGTATGACATCAGAAAACATGATTCCCATGTTCAAGTAAGTAGTTTGTATGTAGAACTATATTTGTCTTTTCTATTTACAACTAATTTCCTCCCGCGATTTCGCCCGCGTTGAATTCAGTCTGTCATTTGATCATTATTTTATTGTGGAGTACATTTTTAACTATTAGAGATGAAACGGATATCCGGTAACTATCCGGTAGGCCGGATATCCGGCCTAAATTTACTATCCGGCCAGATACCGGATAGTAACTCACTATCCGGCCGGATACCGGATATTAAAAAACTACGACAATTTCCTATTAATAAAATGAAATACATTAATCTTTGAGGTAAACATTAATAAAATGGCTTATAATAATGACGGCTTTTATTTAAAGTCCAAAAAGTTACAAAAAGCCATAAGGCCTTTAAAAAAAACTAATTTCTTTTTCTGAGCTGTTCACTCTAATGACGAATTTTCATACATAAATAGTAAATATCTGTTAAGTCGAAATATTGCCAAATAAAATAGGCGATCTTTTTTTCACTGATGGTCTGATGTCATGATGCAGTTCAGTCAGATTACGCAGCAAGTAAACATTGAATAGCGAAAGTTAAATTATTAACTTTCGCTATTCAATCACACACTCACGATGGCAACCGAAATCGCCCGAATTGATCTGTCCCCTAGTAGGCCAGTAGAATTAGATTTTAAATCGGAAATAATTCCTACAAAAGATTTTATTGCTTTAATGGCTTCATTGGTTGCCCATTAAGACTCTCCTAGGTTTTCGACTTCGACGGCGTTGTGCTTAATAGGTGGTGGGGGCCCCCGAAAGGGGCGCTTATTCGGTTTTCCGGTTATACCGCGTAAAGGACTTACCCTATCGAAAAGTGGTCTTCCTGACGGTTGAAGGGCATTTAATCCTGCATTAAATAAGACCAAATTTATATGTTTTGAACAAACCGTTCTCGTGCAAATGTTCGGCAAAGTAGAAAATATGTGTATAATTAATGACCCTCTCCACGCCCAATAGCTCGTCACCCGTAGGCTCCCAAGCCTTGTAAAGGGTCGCCTTAACCAGCGTATCCCTGTCAAGGCTCACGAGTTGGATTCGCTTATCCTTGTTCGTCCCAGCCGTTCCTTAACTGCAGTTGCTGCACCTCTTCCTGGCACTCTCCTGAACGACTCTGTGTTACCTAATGTGGCTGCCCCTCTTCCTTGTACCCTCCTGTACGATTGCATTGCTTAGCCATATGCCTGGTCCAAGGTTCGACGCCACAAAATCAACTTCGTATGCGTGAAAATAGTTTAAATACTATTTTCCGTGCTTGCAACATTTTTCTTTACTGCTTCGCCTCTATTAGTCGTAGAGTGATTGTATAATATCCTATAGCCTTCCTCAATTTATGAGCTATTCAACACAAAAATAATTATTTCAATCAAACTAGTAATTCTTGAGATTAGCGCGTTCAAACAAACAAACAAAAAACTCTTCAGCGTTTTAATATGAACTTGTTGTTGTTGATTTTTGGCGTTGAACCTTAGACCAGGCATACGGCTAGGCAACGTAGTCGTGCAGGAGGATACAAGAAAGAGGGGCAGCCACAGTAGGTAACATAGAGTCGTTCAGGTGAGTGCCAGGAAGAGGTGCAGCAATCGCAGTTAAGGAACGGCTGGGACGAACAAGGATAGGCGCATCCAGCTCGTAAGCCTTGATAGGGTTACACTAGTTGAGGCGCTCCTTTTTAAGACTTGGAAGCCTGCGGGTAATGAGCCATTGGACGTGGAGAGGGTCATTAATTATACACATATTTTCTACTTTGCCGAACATTTGCACGAGAACGGTTTGTGCAAAACATATGAATTTCTTATTTAATGCAGGATTAAATGCCCTTCAACCGTCAGGAAGACCACTTTTCGATAGGGTAAGTCCATTACGCGGTATAACCGGAAAACCGAAAAAGCGCCCCTTTCGGGGGCTCCCACCACTTAAGCACAACTCCGTCGAAGTCGAAAACCTAGGAGAGTCTTTATGGGTAACTAATGAAGCCATTAAAACACTAAAATCTTTAGTAGGAATTATTTCCGATTTAATTCATTTTTGTGTTTAATTCTACTGGTCTATAGACAAGTGATAAAATCTGACATTCTACTCGGACTGATTAGATTTTCGAAAAGTGTGACTAGTCTAGTCTACTAAAATAGACCCACTGATCGCGTTCGAAGCACCTGTGCGGCGCTAAACTCGTCACGACATGTAACGAGACAACGGGCCAACTATCCGGCCGCCGGATATCCGGCTATCCGGCCTAGCAGCTGGCCGGATACCCGGTATCCGGTATCCGGCCAAACAACTATCCGTTTCATCTCATGATAATTATCTCCTAAAATATTAATTGAAAAATTTTAATTGAAATATTAACATGTAACTTTATAGGTATCCTTCCGTTTGGCCAAATTACTTTTCGCCAAATTTCACTTCGCAAACAACTTATCGCCAAAGTTTCATTTCCCAAATGAACTTTTAGCAACTGTACTTTTCGCAACTAATTCATTTGGTCAAATTATCATTTGGCCAAATTTTACTTGGCAAATGTTTATATAGCAAATGTTTTATGTTGCCAAATATTATATCCCAAATAATTTGTTTGGTCAAATTGACACTTCACATACTTACCCACCGTTACCCACAAATCAAAGTATAAGGCACATGATCATGGTTTTCACAAGAATTTTATGTAAAACATTGCAGAAAATAGTATGGTTGCAAAAAGTAGGTATTATTACAGAAAATAGTAGGTTAGGTTAGGTTAGAACAGTGACCCTTAATGCGCGAAGGCGAGCGAAGCGTGCCGCGGCAGCGGCCGCCGAGCGCTAGAATCACCTCTATTGTTAATAGTAGGTTAGGTTAGGTTAGAACAGTGACCCTTAATGCGCGAAGGCGAGCGAAGCGTGCCGCGGCAGCGGCCGCCGAGCGCTAGAATCACCTCTATTGTTAATGAATCGTTTGGAAATTTCGATAAAAAGAATGAAATAAGGAAATTAATGTAGACCAAATTTTATATTAACTACCCACTAAACAAAATACAAGCTAATTTGTATTCCATTCTATGCACCAATCAAATTATTTTGTAAATAGTTTATCGTGAAATATTTTTGCCTAATGAAACATTTGGCAAACCATACTTTGCCAAACAATAATTTGCTAAACAATAATATGCCAAAAACAACATTTGCGAATTAAAAGTTTGCAATAAGTTGCTTTGCCAAATGAGAATTTGCCAAATGAAAATTTGCGAAACGTTGTTTGCGATGTGATAATTTGGGAAACGTTTTTTGGCCAAACATTAGTAATCCAAATTTATAGTAAATAAGAAGTAGTTTCCATTTAAGTATAGGTTAATGCAATGGTGGTCTCCTTATCTTACTGATCACGCAAGGTTGGCGCCCAACGTGGGGTTTTTTAAGCCAGTTTTTTAATCCGTAGCTAAAGCAACCAATTGATAAACTTTGTTGCTAAATGTTACTGATGATCGGCTACCGATCAAAAAACCGGCGAAAAATCAGTCTTTCATTCTACATCACTTCATCTGTAACAACAGTAGGTATTTTGGCTTTTCGGTGATTCATCGACAATATAAAACTTGTTTGTTTCAGATGTATTTTACGCAAAAAAAGTCATCTCCTGTGTACAGTTTGGATTTTGATTCCACTAAGCTTATTGCTGCGGTAGATCGTAGCGTAGCAGTCCTAGACTACAATACCAGCTATCGTGGAATACGTGGAGTACGAGATTATTCTCACACTTTTGAAGTTATTAAATAGATTATTGACATTTTTCAAATTGCATTTGTAAGTAGGTATACCGGTATTATACTTAGAGATCATAATATATTTAAATATTATGTACGTGTGTTTGTTACTTATCTCCTAATCGGCTGGACTGATTTGGTTGAAACTTTGTACAGAGTATATTTCAATGGGTTCCTAGATGGATTGAAAACACAATTAAACCTGATAGGTGGCGCACCTCTCGGTATCGGGTTCAGCTAGCACCAGCGCCACACCATAGCATTTTAGAGTAACTAAAGCAAAGAATACTCATACTCCAAGAGAACTAAAGCCACACCACAGACTACTATTACGTGCTCTGTGCCACAGACAGAGCCACACTGTTTTCTGTCAAAACAAACAAACTGTCAAATATGTCATCCATGTAAAATGGAGTGAAAATCTAACCTCTTCAAAAATTTTATGTCTAGATTTATTTTTATGTGATGGATTGAAAGTACTGAATACGCGCTACTGCTTCTATTACTAGTCTTATCGTACATCTCACAGATATGTTTAGAAATAGACTCTTCAATATTTTCAAGACCGCTTGTTCGCGAGTGAATAGAAGGGCAGTAGTATACAAAATTCGTAATATTGCACCAGTTTCATTGGGATTACTTACTACGGCGTCGTGCGACGAACACCAAAAGGAGTACGAGGTATCTTGGGATGACGATAGATTAGAACATGAATTTTTAATTCGACAAGCAACTACAGTCAATGTGAATGCAGCTACTCAACTTCTTACTGTAACTTTAGTCGCCATTCAGGATACAAGTGAAAGGTACATCGTGATTATATGAAATAGCTATGCCCTCTATGTACATTTAGAGCGGCTCATTCTGTAGCAATTATTTTGTATGTGTAGATTACGAGAAGCACTGACAAAAGAGATATGCCTCGTGAAGCAAGCACTCGAGTGGGGAGAGTCTGGCACCCCACCACACCACTGGGATCAGCTGGTCGCAATAAGGGGATCGTTGTCTGACCTCAAGCACAATCTTAGAACGTTGCTGAGTATGAATGAAAATTTAAAAATTCAAAGATGTCAGATAAACGAGAATCTCCTCAGCTTCAATTTACTAAAATTACAGGTTATATGGATTATGCTGAAAAGTTAGCCACTGTTGCTGCTGAGATTTCATATTTGTCTGGCAACATTGCAGCTTCTGATGCCATCTGTGAAAGGATTGATCATGCTTGCAGGTATTTATTAATAGAAAAAGCAATTTTAAGTATTTCAAAAACATTTATTAAAGCATAATGTAATATTAAATCTAGCATTTTAAAACTTTTCTATTTTTTTACTCCATTTCTTGTCAGATTCAAATTAACAAATTGATTTTTATAAAATTAGGCATGATAATACATAATATAATCTTATTAATTAATTAAAAATCAACAAATAGTCACTTCTTTTGACCTTAAAACATTGTAGTAAGTATATTTAATATGTAACAAAATTCTAATGACAAAGTAAACAAAATAATATCTTTTAATTATTATGTTAAAACGTTTTATGTACATAGTATTGGCAGTAATGTGTTTACTCTCTCCCTAGGACGTGCAACACTCAGAAGCAGTTGACGCACGAGCTCCAACAGGAGAGCCTGGAGTTGCAACAACAGGCCATCGTCAGCTCGCCTGAACTCGAGCAGAAACTAAAAGAAGAGTTGGCAAATGAAAAAAAAACAAAAAAGAAGAAATCATAACAAAAATTATTTAGATTGAAGCTAATTATAATTTATACACTTAAAATTCCAGTTTGTACATAGAAATAGGAAGAGCAACAATAAAAAAAAATAAAAAATATGTTATCTTATTACTATAGGGTACATACACTTATTTTTATTCCTTTACATTTATTTATCATAACATCAAAGATTTTAAAATACCTACTGAAAGGATTATACTTTTAATATACCCTGAAATATTAGCTATAGTATAATACAACACACATACATCTTATAAATATTAGCTATCCACATTTAGTGTTGAAAATAACTAGTGAATTTGACTATCATTTACGGTCAAATTGGTCAAAAACTAGTAATTAACTGTCAAAAATGGTCATTTTCAGTCAGTTTGATTTCAGTAATAGTTTAGTACTTTTTTAAATTATTTTTTCTTAGATTTTGAGAATGATAAGTCTACAACTTCTTGATTAAAACAAAAAAGTGTTTATTACAATTAAACACTACAATGAGTCTACAACTTTTAATTGACACAATGTTTTGTAATGATTTATTGTGCTCTCTTTCTTTCCCTACGCAATTGTCACGCACCACGCTCTTGTAAGGCAAAATGGGAATGTTGCATCGCCGCACACGACGACTTTGATGCTATCTTATTCTCTCATAATAAAACAAAATAAAACGTTCCTTAATTTAAAACTCCATAAAATTGGGTAATAAATTATTTGGTGGGACTACAGTAATATTTGAGTCAAATTGACTGAATTACAGACAGTAAATGACTGGTTTATGACAATCGTGACTGGTCAGATTCGGTCATTTTACATCTCTATCCACATTCATCTTCATTATTAATAAAAGATAATAGACCAAAATAATCTCATAATATGTTAACAGTTAACAATTTTTAAGATTTTTACATTGAAGTGATTATGGTTAATTAGCCAAACTGTCACAGTCTCTCTATTTATTTCGATACTAAAAGTCTACTAAAAGTACTCGACCTGTAGTTGACTGGCAGAGAATACCACCTGGCATTAAGTCCGCCACACAAATAAATAAAAGGGTTAGTGTGAAAAGGTGATAGACTACCTAGATAGTTCTAGAAGTTACCTTCGTTTTACAGTACAGTTGGCATTATAATATTAAGTACGGATTTGATTGAAAAAAGCTGTTCCAATTTGCAACTTAACATTACTGATTGAGAGATCTCCTAAACTGGTTAAGTAAAATGTGAGTAAACAATACAGCTCATCACATAAATAATAATACACAACTATTGATACATTATTGATTATATCACTACTAAGGCTAAGTTGCACCAGCTTACTTTAACCGTAACTATAACCATAACCGGTGTTTCTGTATGGGGTTTGATAGACTTGACGTTTGTTAAAGTGATATGGTGCAACCCAGGCAAAGATTCCCTGCATGTACAGATATTTTTAGTTTGGCAACACAGTTACCTGCGCAAGAGCTTAAAACGTGGCGTCCTTGTTGAGATGCGTCTCGATGTCCACGCGGCAGATGGGGCAGTGCTTGTTGGTGCTGAGCCACTGGTCCACGCACTCCATGTGGAAAAGGTGCATGCACGGTAGTCGCCTGCAAACAACAGTCAAATTGTACTGTGAATTATTACAATAATAGATAATCTCAGACATGGATTTAGTGGGGAGTAAACCAGGAAGCCCCTGCTCTAAAGGGGCCCAAATGGTAAGAAGGGGGCCTTTGTGAAAAAAAAGCGCACTGTATTTACTTAACAATAATTAATTTGATTTGAAACAATTGCAACGCCGAGTGATACATGAGTCAGTCAGTGAGGACGTGGACCTTTTTTTAGAAAACTGTAACGTAGAGGGCGCTACAACAAAACTTTTTCGTTAATAAAAAAATTGTAAACCCGTGGTAGCTATGAATAAATAAATTAAACTAATACTCATACTGATTTAAACTTTATTTACCTGCAATCCGAGTGCACCTCAAACACTGAGGCATATCGTGCACTTCTCGTCTTGGTGGTGTGGCGCGGGCGCGGCGTAGGCGTGACGATACGTATGCCGTTTGATGAATGCCCGCGACGTCCCCCGTGCCGCCGCCATGTTGAATACTGACACGAGGGTGCCGCTCGAGCCCCATTGAAGCTCATCAATCCCTTAGATCGAGCCCCATTAAAGCTCATCAATCTAATCCCTTTCATGTGTACTAACCTGCAATCCGAGTGCACCTCAAACACGGAGAGGCATATAGTGCACTTCTCGTCTTGGTGGTGCGGCGCGGGCGCAGCGTAGGCGTGACGATACGTATTCCGCTCGATGACGGCCCGCGACGCCGCCATGTTGAATACTGACGCGAGGGTGCCGCTCGAGCCCCATTAAAGCTCATCAATCTAATCCCTTTCATGTGTACTAACCTGCAATCCGAGTGCACCTCAAACACGGAGAGGCATATAGTGCACTTTTCGTCCTGGTGGTGCGGCGCGGGCGCAGCGTAGGCATGACGATACGTATTCCGCTCGATGACGGCCCGCGACGCGCCCCGCGCCGCCGCCATGTTGAATACTGACGCGAGGGTGCCTCTCGAGCCCCATTGAAACTCATTAACCTAAAGTGTACTCCCTTTCAGTATACCCACCTGCAATCCGAGTGCACCTCAAACACAGAGAGGCATATAGTGCACTTTTCGTCCTGGTGGTGCGGCGCGGGCGCGGCGTAGGCGTGACGATAGTTACGTATTCCGCTCGATGACGGCCCGCCACGCCGCCATGTTGAATACTGACGCGAGGGTGCCGCTCGGGCCCCATTGAAGCTCATCAATCCCTTAGATCGAGCCCCATTAAAGCTCATCAATCTAATACCTTTCATGTGTACTAACCTGCAATCCGAGTGCACCTCAAACACGGAGAGGCATATAGTGCACTTTTCGTCCTGGTGGTGCGGCGCGGGCGCGGCGTAGGCGTGACGATACGTATTCCGCTCGATGACGGCCCGCGACGCGCCTCGCGCCGCCGCCATGTTGAATACTGACGCGAGGGTGCCGCTCGAGCCCCATTGAAGCTCATCAATCTAATCCCTTTCATGTGTACTAACCTGCAATCCGAGTGCACCTCAAACACAGAGAGGCATATAGTGCACTTTTCGTCCTGGTGATGCGGCGCGGGCGCGGCGTAGGCGTGGCGGTAGGTATTCCGCTCGATGACGGCCCGCGACGCCGCCATGTTGAATACTGACACGAGGGTGCCGCTCGAGCCCCATTGAAGCTCATCAATCCCTTAGATTGAGCCCCATTAAAGCTCATCAATCCCTTAGATCGAGCCCCATTAAAGCTCATCAATCTAATCCCTTTCATGTGTACTAACCTGCAATCCGAGTGCACCTCAAACACGGAGAGGCATATAGTGCACTTTTCGTCCTGGTGGTGCGGCGCGGGAGCAGCGTAGGCGTGGCGATACGTATTCCGTTCGATGACGGCCCGCGACGCGCCCCGCGCAGCCGCCGCGCGACGCTCCGCCGCGTGCGCCGCCTCCGCCGCCATGTTGAATACCGACGCCAGGGTGCCGCTCGAGCCCTGCATAAGTAAATAAATGAAAACATGAATGGATGAAGGTGATATGTCGCATTTTCCCGGGTTCGATTCCAAGTGGGGGCAGATTTTTCTGTTCGGTTTGGTTGGTGGTAGGGCTTGTTCTAAGTCCGCCTGGCTAGCTACCACCATCTTACCTAAGTCTGTCGCCATAACAGCAATGTTAACAGCATTGTTGTGTTCCGGCAGTTAGAGGTAAGATAGCCAGTTCCTCCGTGGTTGAGGATTCCGGGTGAAGCTCGCTTCCACCTTCGGCCTGATCGTCACTTACCATCAGGTGAGATACAGGTCAAGAGCTTCCTCGTTGTGGATAAAAAAAAAAAAAAAAAAAAAAAATTTTGGATTTTTCAAGAGAACCTTAGATTAAAACAAAAAGGGAAGATACGGCACTAGCGTCTCGCAGGCGAGCTGCCGAAATTAGGAGCATGCACACAAATTCGCTTCGGCGCGTTAACTGTTACCCGGTTTCCATCAAGGCAGCGCAGCGGAGATGTATTTTGAATAACCAATCAGATTTTATTCATTAAAGGAGAATGAAATCGGATTGGTTATTCAAAACATTTCTCAGCCTCGCTGATTATTATATCTCAGCTTGGGGTTCTTCGTTCTGTCTCGCTCACCGAATCGACAAACGAAGCACAGCAGGGCCTATCTTTATTGCAATGTAAGCGCGTACCGTATCTTCAATTTTTGTTTGAAGCTATCATCATTTCAGCCATAGGACGTCCACTGCTGAACATGGGCCTCCCCCAATGCTTTCCATGTTGGTGGACGTCCCGCGGTACGCGGCCTCCATTCCAGAACCTTTCTGCCCCATCGGCCGTCAGTTCTGCGTACTATGTGCCCTGCCCATTGCCACTTCAGCTTGCTAATCCGTCGGGCTATGTCAGCGACTTTGGTTCGTTTACGGATCTCCTCATTTCTGATTCGATCTCGCAAAGAAACACCAAGCATAGCCCTCTCCATAGCACGCTGTGCAACTTTGAGCTTCTCTATAAGGCCCATAGTGTTTGAAGCTATGGTAGTAACAAAATATACCATCGGCTGGATGGAGATGTGCAGGTGCGGCGTCGCCTGGTGCATCTGCATGTAGTGGTGCAGGTGGTGGTGAACATACTGCCCGTCGCTGCAACAAACCAACAGTAAGCACATACTCGCATTGCTATGGGCTAGCAGAAGCGCTTGTTCCCAACGAGTCACACTAATATCAAGATAAAAGAGCGTTCATTATAAAGAAACAATGTACAAAATACATAAAAATCTAAATAAAAAAAAAAAGTAATATAAAGCGTACAGTAAGAAAATACAGATTAACAGGTAAGGGTGTGACTCGATGGGCATTTTTTCCCAACGACACGGTTACTCGTTTTGGTGTGACTCGTTGGGAACAAGCGGCTAGAAGGCTTATAGAACATCGAGGAAAGAGTTAAAACAATAGAAAAACAAAAAATAATCACAGATTTCGCAAAACAAAAAATAACAAAATTAGAGAAAACACTAATAATATACCCTGAGAAAACAGTCGGTCACTGCTATAAAAATAATTGGATAGCGGACAAACTAGTCCAAGAGCCCTTAAAACGTGGGACAATGGAACTTAATTTAATTTATTGACAGTCAATTTCTTCATTTTAAAGCTGCGAAAATTTTAAATCTTAGAATTATTAATAACCATGGTGGACAAAAACTAAATGTAACATTTATCATGTTGTTAAGAGATTACTTGATATTTGTTTAGGTAATAACTATGCAATTATTATTTGTTGTAACACTAAAATCGGGTCCAACTATCGGCCAACTAAAAATCGCAGGTCTGCGCCTAGGCTTAAAAGGAGCGCCTCACTAAATAGAACTGTCATAATCACCTTCTTACGATGTATGGACTATAGTTTTAATAATTAATTTTAGTTTTATTTCTTGTATGACACATCAAGATGAAGCAAATCTGTGGAATAATTAGGCATAGGCGATAGGTGCTATTTTGCAATGAAAAATATGGCCTGATTTTCACACTTACTGGATCCTGTGTGCGGGAGGTGCGCCCCCTGGGTTGTTGCGGTTGGCCCTCAAGTCTCGGGGCTCAAACTCATCTGGGAACTAAAAAAAACAAAATTTAATTTAGAAATGTAATCATTTATCTTCTTACGCACGAAATAATGCGCTGTAGGAAGGTGCAGGTGACAATGTGACATGTGAAAGTCCCATCAGTGACATTGACAGGGTGCGCCACCGTCAATACCGGATCGCTGGTTCTGATTTTTGCCATTTTCGAAAATTTTATGTTGAACGATGGTAGCGCCTCCCTGTCCCTTCATTGGTTGGGTTTTTATGGCGGTCAAGCTGTAGATCCTGGCTACACAGGAGTTGCAGTAGTGGGAACGAGAAGTGAGAATAGTCCCGTAGCGCCTCCCTGTCAATGAGTTTGGTGGGACAGTTAAGTTGCAAGCTTCTCGTCCATCGAAGTATTAATGTTAAAAAGAAACCACATTAATACAGGTACAAGTGGGCGGGGCACTTAGCTCGCAGAACTGATGGCCGCTGGGGCAAAAAAAATCTCGAGTGGCGACCACGAGCCGAAAGACGTAGTGTGGGCAGGCCTCCCGACGATCTGGTGAAGGTCGCGGGAGGTGTCTGGATGTAGGACCGGTCTTTGTGGAAATCCTTGAGGGAGGCCTTTGTCCAGCTGTCTCATTCGGCTGAAACGTACGAACTAGTTCAGACGACGGCACGTTTGCCATAAGATGAATACTTTTATGCAGTTGTAATACGTGCTATATTGCAACGAAAATTTTGTCCGCTGATAAAAAACCGTTAGATACGTACCGAGCTGGGAGGCGGCATGTTGTAGGTGGAAGAGTAGCCGCTCACGTTGCCCATGGTGCTGCGACGCTGCAGTTCCTAAAAAACACATTTATTATTAAACTATTTCTTTCGCAACTAACTCCCGGAGACATGATCATCGGAAATATGCCTTTTACTGAACAACCTATCTTCTGTCAATCCTTTTAGATTTTGGTATTGCTTTTTATAATAGGTACGAAATAAGTATCATTCACCCTGACACTTGTGTGACCCCACGTTGGCGCGTTGAAGACAGTCGTTATAATTTTGGAACAAAATATTTCTTCATTATTAGTAAGATATTAATGCATCTTATGCAAATACTTACGAGCATGTGGTGTTGGCGATGCCATAGCCGTTCGTGCACGATGTAGGGCGGGGCGATCGACATGACCTCACGCCGGTCACCCACTGCAGAAATATTATTATTGTTAAAACAACGTCTGTACGTCTGTATTTACACTTAAAATTTATACGCGCACTATTATTATTATTTATGTATGTATATTTTATGCAGTATAGGTTAGTGTCCGTGACTCTCACTCGGCATGGGGCACACTGAAAACCAGCGTCGTGGCTTCCCTCACCGGGGGCCACGGCATATGCTGAGTGGGGTCCCATTGCGATGGGCATCGCTGTGCGACAGGGTGGCACTGCTTAGTTTACTAAACTTGCTCATTCATTGTATGTTTTATGTCACCTCTGTCTTATTTGCTTTTTTTTTTATTTCACCTCTTTTGTCTTTTGTGATGTCCATGGCAATAAATGTTTCTTTCTTTCTTTCAACGCAAAGCGCGCTCTTATCCTATGAATACTAATTTCTAAATCCTTGTATTGCAATTGGTTTCCAAACAACAACTGTAAAGGTTACCAATTCTATAAAATGCTAATAAAAAGTTTGTAAAATGGGACGAATCAAAATTTAAATTTCGTAATTTACTACAAAGTCTAATTTGACGAAGTAACAAATTATGGGTGTTTTTAATATCGTACGGATTTCATCTGAAATCGTACGGAATTACGCACGCGGGATTGTCCCGCATGCGTGACACTCGTGTCATTTTCATACAAGTATTCATTGGGGGTGTTTGGCCGAAAACATAATTATTGTAAGAGCTTATAAGATTAAAGTTATAAATAAACCAATGAGGGTTTTCGCGATTGAAAAATCCACCAGATGGCAATACGTAGACGGGAGGTCCAAATGCTGCATGATTGGTTATTTTTGACATGACATTGACAGATATGTCAAAATCCACCAATCATGCAGCATTTGGACCTCCCGTCTACGTATTGCCATCTGGCGGATTTTTCAATCGCGAAAACCCTCATTGCCATAGCGATCGCCATTTTGCTTACAATAATTTCTACTTTCGGCCAAACGTGCCGATTGTAATGTGTGGAATGCGCACGTGGAGAGTGGGGGGATCTCGCATTTGCGATGAAATCTGCACGATAGCTATTAAAACACCCTAAGCCTAGGCGCAGACCACCAACTTTTAGTTGGCTGATAGCTGCTGTTGGGCCCGATTCTAATTTGTATGAAGAATCGGCCGATACCAAATCGGTGTAACGTGCGATCTTTCATGCATCTCCATACTGATTAACAGCCCGATCCAACTATCGGCCAACTAAAAATCGGTGGTTAGGCCAGGCCTGTTCATCTCCGCGAGTTTACATTGAAAACAAAACACGCACGATGGCCCACCTACAGGACACTATTCGACAAGGCCTCACATACGAGCGAACATTGACTGACGCACGCGTATTCTTGTGTATGATGGAAGAAAATAAAGAAAATGGTGTACTAAATACTGTGCAGTATTTAACTGCCTAAATAATAATAAAAACACAGAATGTACTTTTTTAAGTTGCCTCAAGACACTGGGAGGTAAATAAGTAGTTAATATTATTCATGATAATTCATGCTAAATCATGTATTTCCTCCGCCATTTTCCGCAGTTTGGCACCTCACGTCACATCATTTTACCGAAGTCAGCCCTATAGCTTCGGCGCAGTGCCGATCACTGACGTTTGTCAACAAAATGGTGCTTGACTCTTGAGACAGGCTAAATTACACCATATTGTTAATGACATTGAGCATACATTTGTTTAAATACCTTCGCGAAGTAAAACTTTTGTACGTAGTACTTATTATTATTCTGTGGTTAGGCTAAGATCAACAACAACAACAACTATGTAACATGTGAATATCACTCACTGTGCGCAGGCGGCGCGGGCGGGTTGTACATGTTGTAGAGCGGCGGCGGCTGCGTGTGCGTGTAGGCGTGCGAGCCGTGGTGGCCGGGCGCGCCGTGCACGCTCGCCCCGTGCGCCGGCGGCGCGTGCGGCGCGTGGTGCGGGTGCGTGCAGCAGCAGCCGCGGCACGACACCAGGCAGTTACCTTCTGTTGGCCGGCTGCAAACATGTACAACATTGATGCTGAGTTGCGCCATCTTACTTTAACTTTGACTAACGTCAAAAATCTGTCAAACTCCATACATAATGCATCGGATTGTTACGGTTAAAATGTGGTGCAGCAACTCAGGCTCCTCTTTAAGCTGACGTCGGTCACTGAACGTCAGCCTAAGAGGAAATCAAGCCATAGGGATGTAGACCAAGGATGTTTATCGATTGACACGGCGCATATCCTAGCCCGGCTGGTTTAGACACAACGACAATAGCACAGTTGCGGAAATCGACGTAGCGGAAAAACGTGCGCAGCACCAATTGATCATCATCTAGGATGCCTCTTTGCCACTCCCGCTGCTACCTCGCATCGAGTGAAAGGGATGGTACGATCCACGGAGCTGCAATAACTCTTCTATGGCTGTGGCTACGGCAGTGCGTAGTGCGGTGACCAGTAGGCCTAAGATGCGCGCCGTGATAACTTTTATCGACGTCAAAATGTATGGGCATAATCGATAAAATGGCGTGATAACCGCTTATCGCAGCGCGCATCTTAGGCCTACTGATGTGGCGAAGAATCGCGCGCAGCGCCGTTTGTTCATTTATCTAAAGCGCCTCTCTGTCACTCCCACTACTACTTCACATCGAGTGAAAGGGATGGCACGACTTACATGCATACAATGTCCGCATTCGGCGGCTGCACATAGACCGGCGTGTTGACGTGGCGGAACAGCGCGCGCAGAGCTTGAAACGTCATCGTCTAGTTAGAGTCTTGCTCTATCACTCACGCCGCTAGCTGGCATCGAGTGAAAAGGATGTCACGATCCACAGAGCAGTATCACCTCTTACCGTGTGCCTTACGCCTGCCGTCGAGTGAAAGGGATGGCACGAAGGATAATCTTACCTGCGTACGATGTGCGCATTCGGCGGCTGCGGCTGCGGCGGCTGTGGCGGCTGCGGCGGTTGTGGCGGCTGCACATAGACCGGCGTGTTGACGTGGCGGAACAGCGCGCGTAGAGCCGGCTGGTCGTCCAGTGCCAGGGGCGCGTCCTCCTCCTGCGGCCGCTCAGGCGACGCTGTGAGATCTATCACCGCGCGCTGGAAGAATTAATTGTGTAATCAGAACCATGTCAGAATTCTAATAAATAAGCAAACGTGTTCAATCAACGCAATAAAGGCATTCTACTTTAGGCCAGTTGTTTATTTGAGTTTTAAATGTTGTAATTTTGTAATAAACTTGGTATAAAACCGGAAACAGACACCCCACTTGTTTGTAACCAACAAGGGGCTCTTAGCACTACATTTGAAAAACAATCCTATACTTTTATACACATATTTCCAAAATATTATACATTTATACTTACCTAACATTCCAACTAGTTAGTACATAACATGAAGGAATGTTATAAGGAATCATTCAATCTTCATCACTTTCAATTACAAAAAACTGATTGCAATAGAATGACATAGCAATAATTTAAACAATATGGTTGGACTCTTACAGGATTAGTGTCTTCTCCAAGCACTTGGACATCATCATCAGAACTGGAGTCAGACACCCAATCCAGCTGCAGGTCAGGGGCCGACAGCACTCCCGCTGGTACTGGGTTGGTTTGGACTTCCTATGAGGAAAAATAATAAGAATAATGAACATCAAGTTGAAGTCAAGAATTAATCAATATGATCTCTGTTTCAATACTTTGTAAAATGCATTTGACCATCTATTTTATAATTAAGAGCGCTTTCACATAAGGGCGTTAGTAGCGCGATTGCAGCGCGGCAGCGGCGTCTTTATAATGTGAAGACATGCATCCACTGTCACATAGTATGAAATTTTCGGCAGCGCGTCTGTAGCGCGTTTGTCGCGCTGCTAAATCGCCTAAATGTAAAAGTGCTCTAATGCTAAATTAATTATTTACCTGATCACAGTTATTGTTTGTTCTGGCTTCTGTTTGAGTAGTCCTCCCCATACTAGTACCAGGTTGGGGTGATTTTACTTTCACCCTCCTATCTCCCGCGGCATTTACATCACAACACCTTGCATCAGCTCTCTCAGTTTTGACAATGACGCTCTGAGATCGTTCTGGAATCTCATGAGATTGACCATTTGACGTCCCTGGTTCAATTTTCACCCGAGCCTGGTCTGTTGCTTCAACCTTGACGATAGCACTAGATATGGGTACAGACACACTCTCCTCTGTTATCTGTTGTTCTTCAGATGGCTGTCCGGATTCTTGTTTGATTGTGCCTTGTATTCCTGGTTCCTCTTTAACTTGTGACCAGGACGTATGTGAGGTGCTAGCTACGTGATGTTGGGAACACTGCCGATAAAGTCTATGGTGGTGATGGTAGTGGTGGTGGTGGTGATGAGATCCATTTTGATGACTAAAGTGGTTGGGACTGTGCCTTTGACATTCACTGACAATAGAATGGTTGTGGGCATACGTACTGCCGTGGTGTGCTCTGCAAACACAGGTGCTTCTGTTTGCACAGTTACAACTGTGGTTTTCTTGTTTTATGTGCATGTTGTTGTTTGTGTTACAGTTATGGTGAGCCCTATGGTTGTTTTGTTGCCTTCTGTTACAGTTGTGGTGTTCAGGCACCACTGCATTGCTCTCAGTGTTGGTGTCACCTGCTGCTTGAGTAGTGGCTTCAGTGTGGTCATGTGGCTCTCTTTTGATGTCAATCCTTGGAGAGGAAGCATTAGGATAACTGCAATTACCTCTAGAAACAGACACATCAGCATCAGACCTATTACCCTGATGACCGGCACCATTGCTGCTACATAGCCTTTTCCTGGGTACAGGAATATTGTCTTCCTCGTCTGAACTGACTTCAATAAGACTGGAACTGGTCCCTTCATTTTCTCTTGAGTGTCTCCTTCTAGGTGATATGTTTAGCTTACGACTAGGCCTCTCCAGTGCCTGTGGTTGGTTACTCCTCAAGTGATTTCGGTCTGCGGTATTGATATGATTATTGTGCATTGTGGGAGGCTGCACGGAATCAAAATCCATTGCAACAACAGAGCTATTTTCTTCCCCTTGTGGTAGATTGTAAGAAATAGGATGTGGTGCGTAGTTTCTATCATCACCAAGAACTATTACATTGTTGGCATGGTAGGGGGCAAATACATATTCCAAACCAGGCCTTACACCAGACCCAGGATAGGGTTGATAATTAGGGTAGTAGTAGCCTCTCTGGTTCACGGGTTTAGGTTGGTATCTGATATTAACATCAGCAAATCTCTGGCCAGTCAGATTTCCATTTTCCAAGTTGTTCCTTCCAAGAGCATAATCTAATGAACTTGAACTGTCTGGTAATGGCTGGTATTCTTCAGGAACAGGAGTGTGAGAAGAGCCTGGTGGTGCCACTGAGGTCATATTCAGTTCATAAGCCTGAGTGGGTGAAGTAGAATTGACATAGTTGGAGGAGACAGGTTTGGATGACACCACGCCGGCAGCAGAGGGTGGTGCTTCTGTAGATGTTGGGAGCACTTCCACTTCATCATCACTCTCAGCAAAAAGAGCTTCACACTCCATTTCCTCTGCAAAATATAGAAAAATCAGTCAGAGGAAATCGTAAGTCAAACAATCTTTCTTTTAACCCCATGAACCATGTATAGTAGTTTAAAATAGAAGATATATTTACCATTTCTGGGAGGATTATCAGAAGCAGATGATGTGTAAACAGTGTCCAGGATAGCTGCTAGGGATGATGGACCGGGAATATCCCACGAAGATGATTGATCACCTTCGTATCCCTTTTCGGTCATTGTATTTGTTAGTGTTTTCCCGTCATAATGTTCAAAACAGTGGGATATGCCACAATGGAACTTCAACTTGTTTGCAGTCAACAAACATGGAGTATTAGGTTTCACAATATTTACGCCATACTTAAACTAATGAATTACTATTTCACGCATTGTAAACACATATTTTGAGTTCTATTTTGTCCACAAAAGTAGTTGAAAACACTGGAATTCCACATGCGATCGAGAAAATGCGACATTCATGACCAAAATTTACAACAAATAAATGTTGCCATTTTGGAAAAAAAAAGTTGTGGCCAAGAAATCGTGTAATATACAGAGCAATGATAATTCCAGAACTTAGAACTAATTTTTACAAACGTATAAGGTTATTTTCCTTTGCCAGTTTTAATTTTTTTTTAATAAAATGTCAAATAATAATGTTTTGTTTATGTGTCAAATTACGAAAGATGCAGGAGAGTGGCAAAAATTACATTTTGATTTAATATAAATTAAAACAGGTAATATTGCAAATAATGTAATGTAGCTGACATTGCTCGTAACAGTTTTCTCCTATAAATAATTTCTTGAGGTTAGTTTACAAACATAAACCTTTTATTCAACTTCAAAAAGTATTCGAAGTATCACAACATTCTCAACTGTTGTGTTATCTTTCGAGTGTGACTAAATTGTATTTGATCAGAGGTCACATTTCTGTTACTTCACAGCGATCAGTCGTGTTCATGCGCTTGTATCAAGTGTTGGTGAATAAGGTTAAAGCTATGTCTTCCAAACATTTGCCTTTATTTTTGGAAGGAGAAGTTGTTAAAGGCTTTGGAAGAGGATCTAAAGACTTAGGGTGCCCTACAGGTAATATTATATTTCTTATTTTTATTTATTATTGAGTTAAGAAGTTTTTAAAGCATGATAAAAGAATATTCAATTTTAGTTAAACTCTACTACTTCTTCACCCACACTTTTATGTTTCAATTGAGTTGAAAGAAAATAAAATTATTAAAAGAAACATAAGAAGACATGAAATTATGCTCATAAAATTCATTTTCTGAGTAGATGATGTCAGTTAAATTAGAACCATGATTTTTTATGTCTAGACATAATTTTAGTCATTATTGAGGAGAGCACAATAATGTTGTATCAAATGTACTGCCCCAGTAACCTTGATCAGTATTCTGGCATAAGTACCTACTTACATACATAGTTAATTGCTTTACTGGTTAAAATTTTCCAACATTGTGTGATATTACGTTGAAGGACAAGTAATAAATTATGAAATATATGCAGTTTGATAAACTTTGGATTGCTGGATGTATTTTTGTGAACTATTAAAAAACATATTGACTTGTTTGTGTTAAAAAGTCCTTATGATCTTTACAAGTAAATTATTTAACTTAAATCATTATATTATTAATTATGAATGTCTAAGTTTTCTTATTTTTTAAATATGATTATTAGGTAGTTACTTGATTAAAACTATTATCACTTAAAATAAATTGTCCTTAGGTTAATCTTCTATGATTACAATCCAAGATTAAACAAATCTTTATAATGTTGCAGTTATATTTTGACATAGTTTTGTAATCACAATGTACACCTTTATCATTACTTTTTATGTCAGAATGTAAATGTACCATGAACCATCAGCCTATTATTGAAACAAGTCACAAAGAATTGTAGTACTCTTAAACAAATATTGGTTTAGTGAACATAATTGTTAAAATATGTACATTGACTGATAACCCCATTAACACGAGTTATGCAAAGCTGATGTGTGAGTATTCAGTTTAACTCCGTGATAATTGCAAAATTTTACAACCAAGTTTTTGTCACATCTATACCAATATTATAAATGCGAAAGTAACTCTGTCTGTCTGTCTTGCTTTTACGCCTAAACCACTGAACCGATTTTGATGAAATTTGGCATCCCAGGAAAGGAAGTCACGGGAAAGGACATAGGATAGTTTTATCCCGATTTTTGAAACAGGACGCGCGCAGGGCGAAGCCGCGGGCGGTAAGCTAGTTATTTATATTCTTTTAATGCTATGGCTATAATCAATAATAAATAAATGCGTCTACTTGCATATAAGTACTCGTACAGCAATAAAAATATTTAATCTTTGAATGAATTAGGTACTTGTATTGTAAATGTTATAAATTCTTGAGTATTAGTGATTGATTACATTAGTGTGTAAAATTGGTAAGAAATCGTAACTCTAGGTATACTAAATGTAAGTATTCGTTCGTTCATCATCAGCCAAATGACGTCCACTGCTGGACAAAGGCCTCCCCCCAAGGATTTCCACTGGGCCAGCGCCGCCCGCAACCAGGTGATCCAGGCACCTCCCGCGACCTTCACCAGATCATCGTTCCACCTATTCACTAGTGGGAGGCCTGCCCACACTACGTCGTCCGGCTCGTGGTCGCCACTCGAGAACTTTTCTGCCTCAGCGGCCATCAGCTTTGCGAGTTACGAGCCCCACTTCCACTTGATTCTGCGGGCTATGTCAGTCACTTTGGTTCTCCTGCGATTCTGCTCATTTCTGATTCGATCACGCAGGGAAACTGCTCTAAGTTAGGTCAAACGTGATGACCCGTCTTCAGATGTGCTTCAGACATTTAAGCGACAGCTCTGTAGGTATTCCGCAGTCCGCCAATAAACACTACTTACTTATCCTACTAATTCATTCGATACTTTTATCCATAAATGGAGTGGTTGTTATGATAAGCATGTAATCTTTTTCAACGTACAAAACATCTCCACTGCTGGGCGAAGGCTTCTTCTAAAGATTTCCACAATGATGACCGATCCTGCACCTGCGCTGCCCGCCTTCAGACGATCAATCAATATAGTCAATACTTCGTCGGGCCAACGAGTACCCATAGGTGAATGTCGATCAGATGTCGCGGTAACATTGTTTGAGCTACGAAGACCCTTAGTATCGGGTCTTTGTAGGGAAGACATAAGACAAAATACCTAGGAGTTGCCCGAGTCATTTGTCACACACAGCTCAAATAACGGACTCTTTCATCGGTGACTTCATTGTTTTAGATGTAGGTATACCTATTGTTGTTAAGACTTAAGCTAGATAATAAATAATACTTAGATTACGTTCACGTGCAGTCACGACTTAGTGATAATATTTTTTGTAATAAATAAAACATCATCTGCCGACACACCCAGACTAGAATCTGTTTAGAAAACATATAAATGTACCTGACAAAGAATCGAACCCGGTACTCATACACTTAGGTTTTGCGCTGTCGTCAACTACCTACATGAACTTTGATATCGAAAAGTATTTAATAAAATTTTATGTAATCTATTAATATTTATTAACGATTTAGTCGCTTCTCAAACTAAATTATAAATAAACAACTTGAAAAAATTGAACTGCCTAAGGCGAGAATCGAACCCACAACCTTTAGCTTGGCGGGCGACTGCTCTTCCATCTAATTTATTTGTAATCAATTTATTTCAGCAAATTATCCTCTGAGCGTGGTGCAGGCATTGCCCGAAGGCCTGCAACCCGGCGTGTACTATGGCTGGGCGCAGGTCGACGCGGGACCCGTGTACAAGATGGTGGCCAACATCGGTTGGTGCCCAATGTACGGGAACAAGGAAAAGTCTGTGGTTAGTATACCCACTACTCATTATAAGTAACTAACATTAAGCCTAGACGCAGACCAACAACTTTTAGTTGGCCGATAGTTCATTCTGGCTGTATGGAAGTGCGCACATCACATTATACCAATTTGGTATCGGCCGATTCTTCGAAATTAGATTCGGGCATCGGCCAACTAAAAGTAGGTGGTCTGCGCCTAGGCTTAAACTACGGAAATACTCTGTTAACCCTTTAACTGGTGTACTTAGAGAAATACATTTTTCATTGGTTTTGATCCTTATGTTGTCTCAATAACGTTCAAAATACATATTCGCAACAATTCAGCCACTATCAGAAGGTTTAACATTTATCACGTTAAAAACTACTTATCGCATTTCGAAAGTACAGATTGCGGATCCTGGAGAAGGACAGACTATAATGTGCATGTGGTGTGTTTGTGTGTGTGAGGGCATGGGCCCTGTTTTAACAACAAATGGTTGTTAACTCTTTAAAAATGTGACTAGATATGAGATCGCATTAACTAATGAGGCACCAATGTGTTACAATCGTGTAAAGTTTACACAGTAGTTTACAGTATTGGTTTGTACTGTAAACAAATACATAACTAATTAACGAGGGAAGGGGTCATCCATAAAGTACGTCACACGTAAAGAGGGGGGGAGGGGGTTGACAAAGTGTGACATGGTGTGACAAGGGGGTGGGAGGGATCCTAAGTTTCGTGACATCACATTTCAATTGTTTCAAATATTTGATATAATGTTGATTTCATAAAAAAAGTACTTAATTTAAATGGAAACAAAACTAATTTCGGAACTGCCGTTAATTTAATAATTTTTCGATGTGAAATTGCAAAACATGTGACGTCACACTAGGGAGGGGGGGGTCTCAGAAATGTGACCACCTGTGACAAGGACGGAGGGGGGGTCTAAAAATCATGAAATTCGTGTGACGTACTTTATGGATGGCCCCGAATGACGTCATGATAAGAATCAAATTAGTTATTCAAGGCAGTGTCTCATGTGATGTGACTGTTAGATAGACGCCGTGTAAATAAATAACGTACCATGCGATCTCGAGTTGAATGAAGCTTTTATCCTGAAACCTGTGGTATAGCTTACTTTACATTACGCCTGCGCGATATCTTCATTCAATGAAAGGCTTTGAGGTTCTGAAATGCCACATGCCTCTGCGATATCATCATCATCATTTCAGCCATAGGACGTCCACTACTGAACATAGGCCTCCCCCAATGACTTCCACATCGCACGGTTGGTAGCGGCCTGCATCCAGCGCCTTCCTGCTACCTTTATCAGGTCGTCGGTCCACCTTGTGGACCTCTGCGATATATTCAATAAAATAGATACCTAGGTACATTTCAGTTACGATTTGAATAGAATTATGACTAACTGGGTCTATGTTACCGACAAGCAAAGGGTTGTGGGTTCGTTTCCCTGCTTCAATAAGAATTTTCAAGTTAGGTACTTTAAAAATTTAGAGGGTTCAAAAGTTATAATATTCTTTTGTTTTCAGGAAACGCACATTTTTTCACACAAATTCGACGAGGACTTCTATGGATCTAATCTCAAAGTGGCTGTTACTGGATATTTACGAGGGGAAATGAAATTCCCATCTTTGGAAGATTTAAAACAACAAATTAAGCAAGATATATCCGACGCCGATCGGCATTTAGAAGAATCTAGCGCAAAAGACATATTAGGCCACAGTTTTTTCACCTCTTGATTACCTACATCTCCTGTGCATCTATGAATGTTAATCATACAGGTACCTACTTATCATAGTAGCAAGTATTTTATTCCACCTACATGAGTAGGTATGATTTATAGAAAAATTATTATATTTATTTTTAAATGACTTGTTATTTAATTGAAAGGTAGTGTGTAACGACTATTTGTCTTGATTAACGTCATCATCGTAAAAGTAGTGTATTTTGGCGGTCATAACGAATGATACGGACTTAGTTATCCTAATTCTGCATAATACCTAGCTTAACCTAGACTGAAAGTCGTACTTAAGAATGTATTAACTCTCATAATGATGATGTATTACTGTAAATAAATAAGATAATAATTGGCCTTGTGATATTTCACCTCAAATAAATGTGTCAGTTCACAAGAAATTATTTCTAATGTAATTATTACTATTTAAAGGTGATAATAAAGAACCACTTTATATTATGCAGTAGTTTTATTTCTATTTGTAAAATACATAAATAAATGAGTAATTATTGTACCTAGCATAGCAGCTAGACTTTACCTTTCGGCAATGGTGTAGACATGTATTGTAGTGGTAAAAATTTGCAGAGGTTAATGTCCATCATTGTCAAAAAAAAAATTGAGTCATCAAACTAATATTTGATTGAATCAGTTAAATTAATATATACCATTTTGTTTAAATTATAAATAGAGAGACAATATTTGTCTTGCACTTATTTCCCATTCAAATAAAATTGAAGCCAATCTATCTAAACATAGAATTAAAGGAAAGCCTATACTTTGTATGAAGTGTATGGAATAAAACCCAAAATCCCTTTGACAAAGCCTTTATTTGTAATGCTTCAGTGGATCCATTAATTTAATGAATTTGTAATCACTCCATCATACTCTTGGAATCAAATGCAAAACTTAAATTACGGTTTGGGCTCTCTCTCCAGGATTTTTAATGTTGCTTTCTCCTAAACGAACATCCTGAAATGAAAAAATACAATATTAGATTCAGTTATAACTACAAACAAGGAAAAATGATCAAATTCCAGTCAATGGCTAAATAATGTCCTGACATTATAGCATGGTCAGGAAGGCAAAATATTAAATAAACCATGTAATTAGCAAAAAATAGACAAACTATAAAGTTTTGTAGAATGCAAATTAAAACTTTACCTAATAAAAGATTATGAATTCCAAAAAGGCTCAAGGAATATTGAGTCAATAATATTTTATGGATATTTTTCAAAAATCACTACTACAGAAAGTTAGTACCTATATTTTAATGGTTCTTTTGGGCTTACTTTTCATTAGCTTGCTAAAATCAATTTAGACATATACTGATAGATAATAACAATTGAGATAATGATAACAGCTGTATCAAATAAATAAAATTCCATGTTATCAGTTTGCAATGTACATAAACATGAAAACCTATATGTAATGATCTTACCTAAGTATTAATATTAGGTTAGCTATTATAAACCAAATAGGTAATTCATTTTGCATTGCCAAAAACTTACACAAGTTTTGCAATACAGTGTTGCATGGCAATTTAAATAATGGTGAAATAGCATAATGTTGCACAATAATTAAATAACTATGGTACCTAGCACACTATGGAATATGCCTATTGCAAAATAATAACAAAGAAACAAAAAAACTGAAACATGGGATAACTAAAATTGGCAATAATTAATTTACTAGGATCAAAGAATGATTTTGAAAATAATTTGTATTATTTTTATTCAGTTTCTTAGCAAGCAAATTCAACCCAATGTTTGTATTGAAATACATGTACCTAATACTGGCTAATGAATTTGATTGGTACATGAAAATGATTTACCTTCGGTTAATCTAGCACGACCTCCGGTGGGCTGGCACAGGATTGTTGAGCATCCCGCGCAGACGACCACCCTCTGTGCATGACTGAATACCGTAGTGATTTTGTAGCAGCCTGGGCATTTTACATCCATGAAATATGAGTTAGGATGTGGCACCAGTCTCTTAAGTTTATGTTTCCTCCTCTCCAACGCGGGGGCTGGGTGCAGCAAGTCAACAGCGAGCTGAAAACAATGACGTTTAGGTTATATTTCACCATCATTATGAAACTTGAACTGCTTTCATGAACTAAGTGCACCAATAAACTGTTATTTTCCAATCTGGAGCCTAAAGCTCAAAACATCTTCAAACAGGATTCTGAACACCCGTGGTTTAGGAATAAGTTTCTCTTCGACATGTCAAATAGTGCCATGTGTAGTGCATCATCCTGTTTGATGCGTAGTTTTATGGTGAAAAAATAATAAAATGTTCGGGCCATGCACATTGTAAACTAGAATCACTTGGTAAACACAATTTTTTATCACATAAATGCAACGCTGCTAAAATATTTCCGAAATTAAATAAATTTACACACCGGCATGGTTACAGCTTTGATGCAGAACCGGAAAAGGAAAACCGTCGAAAGATCCAAAGACAAGAGAACGCGGCCATAAATACAAGAGGTAATTTTTGGAATTAGGACGCGTTCGTCATTTTCTAAATATATGACTAACTCTAACTAACATGAATTATTTTTATTTTATTTTACATCACTTAAAAAGTAAATAAAATTAACACCTTAGTTACCTAATTTTACAACAACTTTTAAGCAAAAGAGGAGAGTTTTGTCTCTCCTCCTTGGGGAAAAATACAAATCACATTCAGCTGCATTCATCAAGATTTTTTTATACGTTTTGGTTTGGTGTGCGTTAACCTTTATGTATTAAATTTTAACTAAAAGTTAAAATAAAGTGACATTTTATCGTTACTGTCGTTAAAATAATTTGACAGTAAAATGCTGCTTGCTGTTGTTGCTCGTTGTCCTTCTGTGCTTTAATAAATTCGTGCAGTGTTGCCAGAAGGTTACTTTTGTAACCTTTTTGGTTACTTTTGAACTGCTGTGGTTACTTTTAGGTTACACTAATGAAAAGGTTACTTTTAGGTGATTTTTCAGAAATTGTAGAATTAACTTTGCAGGTTATTCAGTAAAAAATATTAATAGTGACAATTTAAAAATTATGTCATAAAGTGCATTTAAACTTGNTTACTTTTTGTTCAAAAAGGTTACTTTTTTTTATATTTCTGGTAATTTCTGACTAGACCCGACTGGCAACACTGAATTCGTGGTAGTTTTGTTGTTATACGGAATCATTATTTTATAATATTTGACCTAACCACATCTATCAATAATGGCTGATGAAGAATACGAGGCTGAAGACGCGGGTGCAGACTATGACGACATTGCAGAAGAAGATGATAACATTGAGGAAACAGAAGAACAAGAGGAGGATGGCTATAACGTGCAGTGCCTAGCGCCAGGACAAGCAGGTGGTGGCGTTGAGAAGTCCAAACGTATCACCACCCGATACATGACGAAGTACGAAAGAGCCAGAGTTCTAGGTGAGGTTAAGTTCGTTAGTAGACTGTTAGGTTATGTTGTGGTTTTATTTAGTTTTGTAATGTATTCATAGCGCTATCTTTTTCTTGATTTAATGTTAAGCAATTGTTTTATGCAGTTGTAGTATGACTTGACTTACTTAAATGAGTATTACTTTAATATAATATTTCATTTGTATACCTTTCAGGTACGAGAGCATTGCAAATAGCGATGTGTGCTCCAGTGATGGTGGAGTTGGAAGGTGAAACAGACCCTCTGCAGATCGCCATGAAAGAGCTGAAACAACGGAAGATCCCCATCATCATCAGGCGATACCTCCCAGACCATTCGTATGAGGACTGGAGTATAGATGAGCTCATTATTATAGACCATTAGATATAACTAAATAAGTTTATTAAGCATAATTGTATTTTTAAAATTAAGTATAAAAGATTATTCCGTAAACATATTTTGTATTATTTTATTCTTTACCTTAAAGCCTAGGATTCATTTCATGATATGTATGTTGCAAACTTTTTAAATTATTTAATTTATAGAGGTACAATAAAACAGCAATTTTTTAGGTAGTGTGTGGCAATGCCACATTGGCATTGGCAATAAATGCAGTGGCCTAAAAATGTTGGGCCCTATGTAATTTTCTAACCTACTCTTAGAGTGACCATTTCTCTTGCTTTACCCTAGGACTGGTGCAGTCTAGTGTTGCCGATCGATAGTCGACTATCGATTGGCCTATCGATAGCCAAACTATCGCAAGACTATCGATTGGCCTATCGATAGTATCGATACTGTCGATACTATCGATAGCTCAAAACGAGGCAATACTATTGAATATGTGCAATACTATCGATACTATTGATAGTATTGTTGCTCGTGAAGAATAAACTATCGATACTATTGATAGTATTGTAGCTTTTGAATAAAAAGCTATCGATAGTATCGATACTATCGATTATTCTAGACTATCGATAGTTTGGCAATAGGCACAACAATAGGGTTGGTAAGTCAAGCGAAACATTTGAAATATTGTAAAAATGAATTAAAACATACCCAATACTATTGCAAATTTACAGACTATCGATAGTTTTTCTTCACGAGCAACAATACTATCGATAGTATTGCACATATTCAATAGTATTGACTCGATTTGAGCTATCGATAGTATCGATACTATCGATAGGCCTATCGATGGAGAAGGCTTTTTCGAATGAAAACTAATAAAGTTTGTTTTTTTATCCATAACAAGGAAGCTCTTGGCTTTTACTATGAAGGAAGAAAAGGAAGATTTGGATTTAATATAATTATCATAATTACAATATACCTAGCTAGAATAAACTTTAAAATAGTATAAAGCTCGTTAGTAGTTAAGTATTTATAGTACACCTCAATATGAATTGTTATTTTAGGCTGAATGGAACAAGTGATTGTGGGTGGTTACATAAAGACAATAACGGTATTTTCAAGTATGTTGTACATACTTATACAAGATACTAAAGCGATGAATTATTATGTCACGATCGCACACCTACGATACCGGGCAGCTGCAAATAGACGCAAACGTAAACTATTTGCGTACGTTGGCTACGCGGGATCTAGGTGCTGTGCATGGTTGCATAGTTCCAAATACGCGGGTGCTGCAGCTTTCAATATCACGACAGTTTGAAATATCGGGCCGAACGGTGAGATGTGCGCCGGCGCAGCTTGCCAACACCGGACTTATTATGACACGCTGATTGCGACCGACCACGTGGTAATTTCTATCAAACTTGCAATGTTCCGTAGCAGTACACGTGCTAATTCATATCGATTGTTATTGCACGACTGTAGTCAATTATTTTCCTTATTAGAGGCGCAGGTACTTGTAGATAGTAGATTACCATTATAAATTAACGTTAAACAACCAAAGCAGGTTATTGTCGGGAGCATATACCTAGTTGTATTAAATATCTTTTTAATTAGATGCAATAAATAATTGACGCTTAAAAATGAAACAAACAACATAAGTAGGCGAATTCTACCAGTCAACGCCAAACTACGAGAACTTTTTATAAGAAAAGCTTTTATTGCTTTATTTCAAGATTTTACTTGAAGGTCATTTATTTACTGCGTGATCGAATCAGAAATGAGGAGATCCGTAGGAGAACCAGAGTGACTGACATAGCCCGCAGAATCGCAGGAAAGTTCTTGAGTGGCGACCACGAGCCGGAAGACGTAGCTTGGGCAGGCCTCCCACTAGGTGGACCGACGATCTGGTGAAGGTCGCAGGAGGTGCCTGGATGCGAGCGGCGCAGGACCGGTCTTTGTGGAAATCCTTGGGGGAGGCCTTTGTCCAGCAGTGGACGTCTTTCGACTGAAACGAACATTTGTTTAATTCAATTTCATAAACAATAATTAATACCTATTCTTAATTCTTATCATACTCTTATAAAATCAAATCCAGTTCCCTTATAGATTCTGAAAATGTAGCATGTAAAGTGACTCTTGCTGTTTAGTCTTTGGCTTCTTAATCTTTTATTAGGTATCAAGAGTACAACACTTGCAAGGCAAAAATTTCGTGTTAAAAATGAGTAAATAGGTACAATTTTCCCACGAGGTTTTCAAAAAACCAAGATTTCTATGCCGTATAATTGTTTCTTCCACGGAAAATGTAATTAAGTTACTTAGGTAGGTACCTACCTACATTATTTTGGTAATGATTCATTGTAAGTATCATTAGCCTAATTAATTCATATAATTATTAACTTTTCTGGATCAATTTCAGACAACTCTGCAGTTAACGAAAGTGTAGCCCATATTGCTAAGGCATGGATGGACGGCAGTATAGAGCTCTCGTTAGTGAGTAAAATATTTATTGTACCTAGGCCTACGTTAGAGAAGAACTGTTATCTCAATTGTAAATTCCAAAGAGATTAATAAAATATGTAGTAAGTATTAGGTAATTGATTTAAGAAATATTTTAATGGTTCTTCTGTCACATAAGTTAGCTAGATGCCTGGTAATTTCGATGTCTTGGAATACATAATTGAATTAACTTGTAAACCATTTAATGATTACATTAACAATTAGAACGGCGTTAAACTATGACTTTGAACCTTCATTAATGTCACGGATGTCCTGAATCGTGGTCGTAGTCAAAGGAGAGCAATGAAGCGCATCGAGCGGCGACAGCGGCGGCCGCGAATGCGCCCGCGCCGTGGGCTGTTGGCACGCGCTCCCGCCTGAACTTCGCGCAGCTCCCGCGCCGAGGGCCGCGCGCCGCGCCAGTACCCCTCCGACCAGCGATGCTGTGCTGTCTCCGGAAATAGAGTACGTCCGCGAACAGTGCCGCGAACTACCCACCTTCACGCTCCGAGCGCATCGCCATTAAATCGCGGTCAAGTCGAGATCACCCGTAAAAGTTTCAAATGTTTCCAACAGTTAAATTTATCACTGCGAAAGCTCTGACGACCGCGACTTAATGGTGATCCTAACTCGAGTTGTACTCCTCCGGGAGTGCGAGTCGTGTTGATGCGGAGCCGCGAATCTTTTGCTCAGTGGATGTGTTTCGAATTCGTAGATCGGTGGATCAGGTGCGCGAGTGTGAGTGCAAATGACTGATAGCCCGACATAACGGGCTTAACTTAACAAAATGTGGACCAAGAGATTAAGGTTATGGAGGTTTATGTTGTGCATGTTTTTCGCCGTGTCGGCGCTCACGATCGCAGCGAGAGGTGAGTAGAGGCGCGCGCGCAGGCGCGGGGTTTGCGTCACCATATCGCTGCTATTTTAGGCGCAACTTGCGCTGAAATTATGTAAAAAGCTCGCGTATGTGCTCTATTTTTGGCATTAACCTTAGCCGATGTGTTGTGTGACAAAATGATCCAGTAACCTAAATATGTCAAGGAAGTCCGTATTGTCTAGGGCAGTCGTTTTATTGCCCAGCCTGTCGGATCAGCCGTAAGACGCTCACTAGCCGCAAAGCTTGATACGTAAATAGAAATACAGGGATTTGTCGTTGTGCGTCGCCATCTTGTGAAAAACGATAGGATCATGACGACATTATAAAAATGTGACATGAATGTAGGTCACGGGGGAGTTTTTCAGAGTTTCAGCACACTGGTTATGTTATACCCTCTCTATGCATGTAATACATTTTTCGTTGTTTCAAGGTCTCACAAGGGTTACCATGCGCAGATTTAAAATCCTGAAAATAATGGCATCCAGCCATATACTATTCATAAAATAAAAATATAAAGATAGAAGAGTTATATGATGTATATTTATGTAACTATTTTATTACCAAAGTTATAGACAAACCTGCTACGCTGCTGCCACATGGTAGAAGGCTGAAATCCAAAACAGCCAACTAGAACCTGAGTGAGAGCTTTCTGACCAATATTTACAGGAAAGAATGAAAAAATCTATTTGTAAATAAAATAGGTATAGGTACCAACATTTGTTCAAAATTTTCCATCCCCAACCCGGGAAAAACTAAATAGCCGAAAGGTTGGGGCCAGCAAAATATAGTGGATAAAGAATCTCAATCTCATTGTGAGAGAAAAGAAAATTAAATTGGTAAAAAAATACTTACTTTAATTTATTGTAGTCTAATTGGCATAAGAAAAATATGAAAGTTACATAGGGACGCAGCTTAGATTAGCCGGGAGTTCCAATAATGTAGAGTCCGCTCAAAATTCAAATCGGCCTTCAGAAGTATTTCAGCCGACGATCGCAATTTTTTCACGAGGAAACCCGTGAATAAGTTTTCATCTTACACACTCATTCAATGTAAATAAAACTTTAAATTAGTTCACCTTGTGTCGTGAGTCTACGTAAATAATCGCCTTGGTGCAAGGCGGAATGCATGAAGGCCAAGTTTTTGGGGTCGCACCGAGAATAATATCTGAACATACACTGGTATTATAGTTGATGTTATCTTACTATCTATTTATCGTTTCACTGGAGAATGAAAATCGATGGATTCTAAGTCCACCAGAATTATGAAACAACTCCAAAAGCTCGATTCGATCTATGTCAAGCATAGTAAACCAATCATAATGATTGGCTTGAATAGACCTACTACGTTGGCTGCAGTTAAGTTAGTGACTCCAGGGTGGAGTTGTTTAATTATTCTCGTGGACTAGAGCCATCGATTTTCATTCTCTCCAGTGGTCTTACAGTCACAGGAACCGATAATAATGATAATATAATAACGTGAACCGTCAATCGAGCTGATGGTTTATTATGCTCAGTTTGCTCACCGAAGTAAGAAATTATTTCTCTTTAAATCAAATCTTAACTAAGCTGTTATATTATATGTGTGCTTATTAGACCAATAACCAAATAACCGTGTTGTAAGACGGACTTCCAATAAAGAAAAGGCAAATGTGACTGACTGAGCATTATGTATTAAATTATAATAGGTACGTAATGAATAATTTTCTTGTTATACCAAAGATTAC